ACGACACACATACACTACTATATATATATATATATATATATACATTATTTGATACCTTTTCGCTCTCATATTATCAGAACCCGTTCTTCTCATCATGTGGATATGGTTAATTTCTCTTGTATGATACATAAGTACAACATATTTGCTGTTCCTATCTGCGTAGTACCATTGACCTTTTATTGGACTAACACACGAGCAGAAGCGACACGTTAAGTTAGAACAACACTAAGCACATGCACCTAACCACTCATACGCCTCACCTCAGTCAGTGGGTCATGCTGGCTGCTGTGTGGTATTATCATTTTTGAATCGTCTACTCACCTACTACTTAAACATACACCGAAGTCAGTGGGCCCTGCTGGCTGCTGTGTGGTATCATCATTGCTGTATTGTAAGTGTGCAATGGTACTTAACTACTCACCTTCCTATTAGACATAAACCTAAGTCAGTGGGGCATGCTGGCTTAAGGGTTTTGGCAAAACCCCTACTACGCTGGGTTGTAGACGGTGCTCAGCCATGAGAGTGCCAAACCTAAAACCCTAAACGGACGATGTGCTGTGCACGCCCATGCTGGCCGATGTTGATATTACGGGACATTAGACTATAAATGTTATCACACATATTTAGGGTTTTAAAGTTTTACTAAGCCCCACACAGGTAGATATTGAGTTTTAGGTGAGAGTGTGGTACACACATACACTTAACATGTTGTGCATTGCTACTGTGGCCCTTACCTATGACATATGCATCATACTTTATTAAGCAAACACTACTATCAGTTAATGCAGGTCAGTATGACATTAACATCATACTTTATTAAGCAAACACTACTATCAGTTCAATGCAGGTCAGCATGACATTAACATCATACTTTATTTAGCAAGCACTACTGGTCTATTGCTATTTGCCAACAAGGCTTCCTGATACACGGCTACTTCATCCCCAACCACTACTTTTATAACACTTAGTCTAGCCTCGCTCAAGGGCAGTTAACGTAATCCAAGAATTTGAGGGCGGACTCGTAGCCCAAGAAACAGGCGGCTGTGTAGAGAGAGCGAGAGAGTATGTAATGAGATGCATGGGATAAGGATATGAGCGTGTCAATACACATGGACGAACGTCTCATCTATATGTATATATATACACACATATATATATATACATACATGTACATAAAAATACACATAAATAAACAAATGTAAATATATACACACTTATACTATTGCTAAATACCACAGACTTCGTGAGCTCAAAACTACGGCAAGCACAGAACTCCTAGGAAATCACACGTACACACGCACGCAATCACCAGTCACATATATACAACTAGCCCTGTATGAAATCTTATCCACATACCACTAACCTCTTAAAAAATCACACACACACACATATATATATAGCAGGCAGTTCACTGCATACCGTTGGCAGGGAAAGCCCTGAGCATGACGGGCACAAAGCCTCTGTACAGTGCGCGTGGTCCTTCGTTCTGCATGACTTCTCTGAATACACTCCTGATGCCGTGGGGGTACTTGCCATCCGGCGCCACCTGCAGCTTAGACTTGAGCGTATCGATAGGCAAGGCAATAGCCCAATTGAATATACCGGCCGATCCACCGGCTAAGAGCGTACCACCAATGCCTGGGCCACTTTCACCTGCGGGTGTGAGTGCTTGTTTAAGCACTTCGTATGACGAGAAGTAGAAGGCTGAGGCGATCGAGTCACGGCCGGCTGTGGCGGTGAAACCACGCATCATACTCTTCATTCCTCCCTGTGGGCGAGATAGGTGACAGTGGATTATGTATAGGTGTGTGTGTGTATTGTGAGTATATATACAGGTATAAGTAAATGCATATATGTATGTATGTATGTACAATACAATTATAAACACTAGTATATATATATATATACAGTTTAGTGTACGACTAATTTTTCACTAACCTTAAAACATAACAGAACAACTGTATATACCATCACACACCAGAACCAATGCCTAATGCAACACAACACACCCATAGCACTGGCCAGTAGTACGAAAACACACCACATCGTGATCTTCGAAAGACAGTACACCCTACAATACAGACACGCAACACATACGAAAGACAGTACACCCTACAATACAGACACGCAACACATACGAAAGACAGTACACCCTACAATACAGACACGCAACACATACGAAAGACAATACACATTACAACACACACGAAAGACATCACACACTACAACACACAGGGACATCACAAACTACAACATACCGCTCCGTACAGCTTCTTCAAACAGTCAATGGGTCCGTCGTACATGCCCTTAGGCGCCGTTTGCATCACACACTTCAGCCGTTCACCAGGCGCAAGAATAGGAGTCGTGAACAGTCCGGATGTGGCACCGGCCAGGGCAATTCGGCCCAAATTCTCCTGGTTCAGGTTGGTGAACGAGTCTTCCTTGCAGAAGATCTTCTGACCCACACCAAACCCGAAGAAACACAACGCGTACATGGGCGTTACGCCTAGAATAGGCGCCGCCATTCCCTTGTAAAGGCCCTTAAAGCCGTCTGACTTGATGGTCTGGTTGATGCAATCCATGGTCCCTGAGTACATGGGAGCCTGCCCTTTCACAACAGTCATGGTCTGGATCTTCACCTTGACTGTGTCCAAGGGGTGTCCGGTGAACACTAAACACACTCCACCAGCTCCACCTGCACGCGTGAGGCACAAGAGTTATAGGCTGATCAGAATACAAGCATAAGTATATATGCATATACATGTGTATGTATGCATATGTATGTGTTCATGCTTGTACGTCATGCGTATGAATATTCACGCTCAATATGCGCAAATAAAGAAAAACTCCACAACAAACCCAGATAAGCGTGCATATCTCCGGGATCTTAGTCTATATGCATCGAAGGAACAGTGTGTGCTTGTATACGTTTTACGCACGACATGTGAATTGTCATAGATACTTCAACGGACAAACAAACTAAGCGCATAAATTAAATAACCGATTGAAATTGGGAACGTAAAATCATCGATTCATTTAAGTAAAGGCTATATATATATATATATATATATATATATATATATATATATATCATAGTAGTAGTAATTATAGTAGTAGTAGTAATTTATTATACTAACT